ACCGGGCTGAGTCCCTCAATGAGGTTGAGAAGCTCGGTATAGAAAACTGTGAAATAAATAATAAATAAATAACATGATTGAATAGGCGAAGCCTTATTCTTTGATCGGTCTTTCCACTGAGCAGCAGTACCACTGTCTTGTGTGGATAAAGTTTCTTTTTTCTTTTGCTTTTATCCAGTCTGTCACTGATGACAAGCTCTTTACATTGCAGGCTCGGCTTACAGTGACATAATCTGATATCCAAATAGTAATGCTACTTTAAAAGTTGCCAACAGGAGAATAATGAGTAAAGAAGGCACAGCTTTAAAATATTTATTTTTAGGTTTACTGCACTAGGAAAAATGTGGCATCCTGAAAACCTTGACTTTATAGGAAAACAAAAACAAAGAATTAGATGAAAGGTGAATAGGACCACATAAGAGGTTCAGAAATAAAAGGAAACTAAGCAGGATTTCAAGTGAACAAGAGATTCAAGTAATCAGAAAACAGCACAACTTATCCAGTGGCTGTTTTTTTGCTGCCGCAGTTGAAATATTTGTCTGAGATTCTCATGTCCTTCCCTTCTTATTGTTTGAAATTCTATCTCTGATGCCGATAGGTACATTTGGTGGTTACATGGGAAAAGGCACTGGGAACTTCCTTCTTAGAGAAGGTCAAGTGGCACCCTCCTTATTATCTTTCTGCAAGCAGGCATAACCCTTTTTATTCTAGCAGGCCTTTGGGCAAAAGTCCTTGTGTAACGTGCTGGACTTTTATTTGTTGTTGCTGTTTCAATTTGTTTTAAGTGGTTTCAAATTTTATATGGTTTGCTTTTTAACTTTCATACACTGTTAATTCTTAACTGTGCTTGTTTTAACTGTGGTGGACTGCCTTGGGTTCCAAACTGGGGGAAAATAGAGAACGATAACAACAACAACATCTGCAGAATAAATATGTAGGTGGTTCAACAGAGGTTGGTGAAGTAAAGCCCTCCTGATGATTCTTCACCATTGGTTATGCCAGTTAGTGCTGATGTCCTGTAATATCTAAAAGCCATGTTTTCACAGTTATACTAGTATTCTAGATGCGATCATTTTAAATACCAGGGATCCAGTTTAAAGAGCTGAAATGACGAATAAAACACTGTTCAAACAATCTCTAAACTGGCTTTTCTCAGACTTTAGATCAGGCCTGCACAACCTGTGGTCCTTTCAGGTGTTTTGGACCTCAGCTCCCAGAATTCCTGACTGTTGGACACGCTGGCTAGAGTTGGAGTCCCAAACACCCAGATGGTCACAGGTTGTACCGGTCTACTTTAAATGAAGACATACACTCCAAGCACATGATACCTACAGCATAGGGAAAATCAGGAAGACCTGCAGAAAAGTATCCCACAGTGAAGTACCTGGGTGGTTGCTGTGATGGACAGAACAAATGTAGGAACAGTTGAACAGCTCAGATTGAGAAGTCGTCCCTAAAGCAACAGAACAAAAATAAATAAAAAAGTCTAAGAAATGTAACAATATAGAAGTCAAGAAATACATATGAAAAACTTTACATGTTCAATTTATTTTATCAAGAATCTATCTATCAACATATCTAAGATAGGTCCAGATATACCATGAGCCATGCCTGCAAGCCAATTCTTTAGTCCTCTGCAGATTTAGGTTATGCCTACATTGTAGGGACTAGAAACAGTGTGTTTCCAATCAAAGACAAATCACCTAGATGCTCCTAGATGAAGGTAGTAGTTTATCTTTCTGATGCATATTTCTGATACTCAGAGCTGTGCTAAACTCAAGAGGAAAGGCATATTTTGATATATGGGAAATTAAAGTATTTTTAACAGAATGCTTGTGACTTTTATATGCATTTTGGTCTCACTAGCTTCTGCACCAGCAAGATTGCTCTGAGATAGCCAAGACAGGCAACTTTCCTTTCCAGCTCCCAACCCCTCTCATCTTTCAGCACCTCAGCTACTTCTTGCTTTTCCTGGTGTGTATTTAGATGCCCACCCTACTTTGCTTCAATTCCTTTAAAGCAAAGAGCCAGATAAACAACAGAATGCCCCCTACAGAAGCTTCTTTTTGTGTTTTCTCAAACATACCTCAGCTAGTAGAACAACACGTTTGCCATCAGGCCAGATTACATGATCCACTTGAGAACGTACACGCTCCCAGGTAAGCTCTGGTGTACGAAGACTAGCCTGAGAGGGAGAGATTGAGTCTAGGGTGAAGAAGTAAACTTTGTGGAGTGGATTGAAAGAGGAATTAAGATTAACAGAGACTCACCACATCAATTTCAGTGTTAGAATGGCCCATATTACACACAATGCAGCTATTCTTCATTCGGTCCAAATGCTCCCTAGTTACAACATTCTTGTTTCCTAAAGAGAAAGGAGACAGCTAAAGCAAGCTAGAGCAATATTTTGAACTCTCAGTTACTACTGTCTATACTTAAAACATTAATTCCTAAACTACATATAGAACAGAACAGTGGGTAATGATGCTTACATTTCCTATGTATCCTCAGATCACTATTCTACTTTAACACTGAAAATTTGAATAGGGAAGTGGTTCCATGTCAAGTGGAAGCATTGCTTCTTGGAAACAAGTAAAAAGACACAGCTAGAAAAAAATGTTTAGGGCTTTATAGGCTAAAGCCAGCACTGTGTTCGGTAGCAGACTGGCAGCCAGTGGAACTGGCATAACAGGGGAGTTGTATGCTCCCTGTACCCCACTCCGGTGAGCAAAGTGCCTGCCGCCCATTGGACAAGTTGAAGCTTCCAAACAGTCTTCAAAGATAACCCTATGTAGAGTGCATTGCAGTAATATATTCGAGATGTAACAAAAGCGTGGATTACGGTGGCCAAGTCTGACTTTCCCAGTAACGTGCGCAACAGGCGCACAAGTTTTCATTGTGCAAAAGCTCCCCTAGCTACCGCTGAGAACTGAGGTTCCAGGCTCAATGATGAACGGCCCTATAGATGTAAAGACATCCCTTAAATGTACACGCACACAAACAGCAAATTGCTTTTACCTGTACAAGTTATAACTACATCCACCTGGCGAATGACTTCATTGAGCTTTACTACCCGAAATCCATCCATGCTGCGAAAGAAAAGACAAAAGAGTGAAGTGATACTGACCACAACAGTGCAAAACAAATGGCCGATCTGACCATTTAAAATGAATTTCTTAACATTTAATAAGTTTAGACAATCCACTGGCAAAGTTGTAACATGAATTTCTGCAAATAACACCAATAAGTTACATAGATGAAAGCACTACTTCAGTGATACTGTTCAGTTTTATCAACAGATTTTTCAGAAGTCATGGAGGGTAAGCTTTGAGGAGATACTAGGGGCAAGCTTTTTATTGGACTAAAAGTTAAGTAATTCATATTAAATGTGTGAGGCTCCTGTGTGATGGGAACTGGCTCTTTTTTCATATTGTTAAAAATGTAGACATGGAATAAAGAAGTTATGTCCATCTATTTCCTGATATCTTTGGCTACCCTGTAAAAGAACACTGGATTGTGTGACTGTCTAAAGAGGTGGGCATTATGCAGGACAGAGGACAAAACAGTCAGAGGAAAATAGATGCTTTACAAGACCTATTAAAGGCGGCATGCTCCAAATGCCCTTCAGAGTTCAACAATTAAAGAGAGAGGTGACATTCCATTCTGCTAAAAAGTAACTACAGAGTGATCAAATGGCAAGTCCATTACATTTTATTATTTCTATAAATCTTTCTAGGTTGTATCCATTTGTGTCCCTTTGCTCATGGAAAGCTCTTTTGCTCTAGAAAGAGATTATTTTGTTAATATTTTGTTTCACCAGCAGCCATTTGGGCTGTTGTTGTTGTGTGCCTTCACGTTGTTTCTAACTTGCAGTGCTCCTACAGTTGTCTTGGAGTTATTCTTGATTAGGGCCTAGGTAGAGGAAAGCTCATTTTTAGTAGGTGGGCTCTATTTCTGACTCATGAAGTGGCTCTGAAGAACAGCTGATAATACACACTAGGAAGAGATTGGTGTTCTCAAACAGCAGTGTTTGTAACAGCTCCTCACTTACCAGGCTTGAAGAGCGCAGATGGGATCAATCTCTGTAATATAAACTATGGCTCCCAAGGCCTTCAGAGCTGCACAGCACCCTTTTCCAACCTGCACAACAGTCACAAAAAACCAAACACCATATTTATTGTAGAATGTTTACATGTAAACTTCAAAATGATGCCACTGAAATGATGATGGATTTGGAGGAAGAAATCACACAACATACCAGGGATTCTGGCCATGAAAGCCTTGAACAATACAGCATGAAAATACTTTCTCGTATCATAATTTGCAAATATGACGGGAATTGTTAAGAGTCAATACACAATATTCTGTTATCAAAGTATTTTCCCAGTGCTACTGTTATTTTTCAGGAAAGAGGATATTACTAATATGAAACTGATAATGAATACAGTGCATTGTACAGTGTACAATGAATGCTAAGCAATGGTGTATCGTTATGGTCCACTAACGAGACCTCCTCAATTAGCTCCTGAAACTTACCTCGCCATAGCCACACACCACCACTTGCTTCCCTCCAAACATCACATCAGTTGTCCGCTTAAGGCTATAAAAGAGAACAAGATTATTTCTTAAGAGCATGACCACACAACATACTACATTCTTAACACAGTGTTTTGAATATCTAAAGCAGTATGGCCATATGCTACCACTGGACATCACCACAATGTATTTAAACTCCACAGCACTGAAGAATTGTAATGATGGATTAGTCCGAAGATCTTTTCTTTGCAGCTTTCTGACAGACTCACCCATCCAAGATTGACTCTCTGCAACAATACAGGTTATCAAATTTCTGTTTTGTGACAGAATCATTGACATTCATGGCTGGAACACAAAGTTTCCCAGCCTTTGATAACTGGTATAACCTGAAAAGGGGAGAGGAAATTAAATGATTAATTTTCATCATTCAAATACTGAGTTAAATTGTGAGATGAACATTGAATCATTAGAAAAAAGCATTATTTTCCACTTGGGCCAACAACTCTCTACATCATGTCCCCAAGCAGCAATAGATGTGCCTGTCCCTATAAAAATGTGAGTCTTTGTCCACAAAAACAAAACAAAACTGTTTCTAACATGTATAGTGTTTCTACATTTTAGGAAAACAGAACAGAACCCAATTATGATGCTAGAAGGGACTCCATATAATAGCTCCCCTTATTAAACATACTTAAAAACAAACATAAAAAATGTAATCCAAAGATAATGGGGAAAAAATGCTTCCTACTACTATGAAATGTATTAATGTCTGTCACCTGACCCATTTCCTTATGAGACAAAGCAGCAGCATGTTCTTCTCATCTTTTTTATTCAACTGCACAGCATAGTTCAGGAACAAACCCCCCTATCATGAAAATCTTCTTTCCTTGACATGATAAAAACTCTTATTTCCATCGCAAGGGCTGCTATGAGTCTGTGCAGCCAGTACAGGCTTCTTCTACTTTTGATGCCTTACTCTTACAATATTTGTAAATAACAGATACATTCTATCAATTTCATTGCAACCGTTCTTCTTGCCTATGAGACTCGCTTCTGACTATCTGTGCACATGTGTGAGCAGTCCTAGGGCTTGTCTATGGAAATAATGGACCTCCTTCTGGAAATTTTGAACGTATGCACCTTTAGTTTTACCACACATTCAATATATAGTGTGTTATTTAAATTTTTCAGCAGCCAAGATGCACTTGCAAGTTAAAAAAATGGAGTTCCACTTTTCACTCGATTCAACTTTCATATAAGTGGGTGCTTCCTACATGTACCAACCATTGCCATGGTAAAACTGAGCTTCCAATGATCATCAATTAATATTGCAGGCCATTGTCACTGGTAACTTTAGCACCGGATACATTTCTAAGAAACAACTAGTACTGAAATACTAATGAAGGCAATGAGATGGTTGAAAAGTCTCAACGGCAACACTTTAGGCAATTGCTAACCTAAAACAAATGAACTGAAAGGAGAGCAGGCTGATTATAGAGTATGACCAGAAAATTTATTTCCTTCTTTAAAAACATAATATGTGGCAAGAAGAAACAAGTCTGCTATGTGGAGAGTTCTTCAGCTTTTGAACTGCACAATGTGCATGGCTAATCAGATAAAGAAATAAACTAGTAGAAAAAAAACCCGATTCTACATTATCATTCTTATACTTTACTTCTTCCACACCCACCTTAATGATTATCCCATAGGCCCATCATTATTAAAACTAAACCAGATGCTTTTAAGTGTCCACTTAATATAGAGTAGACCCTAAAACCACCCCAAGTATTTAATAAGTGGAACAAATAATATGCAAAATTTTCCAATTCCCTTAGGGTTTGTTACCTGTGCACACCCGTCACACTCTCTTCCACAATACCTCTGATCTTCTTAAAAACATTTGGATATTTCTTATAAACCCAATGGGTTAGGTCACCCCCATCATCCAAGATCTAAAAATACAGGAAGTATAAACAGCTCATATCTTCTGCCACTCACACGTAACTTAGAATAAATGTTAGTCACATAGAGATTTGGGGATCAGAGTCAATGCATAAAAACAGAAAGAAGGTACTGTTGCTTATTCCACTTATCAATATTATCTGACCAACTGAATACATCAATAGGAAGGGGGTAACATCATTATTTACCCTTTGATGATAAATCAGCATTGTTACAGTAGAGATACATACGTGATCTAGCACACCAGACCAAAATCGGTCCCCATATTATATATGCGATATGAAACACAATGAATTTATGGGAGGAAAGGTTACTCTAAGGCAGGCTTGCACAACATATAGCTCATGGCCAGAAAGGGGTTGAACTTCCTTCACTCAGGTCAGCCCTTTTCCTGCCTGCCTTCCAGTTCAGGCAGGCAGGGAAGAGGCCGATCTGCAAAGGGGAAGCCCAGGCCATTCTCTAGGCTCACATCTTTTCCATGGGACTGGAATGAATCTGGTAAACCTTGAGGAGCCTAGGCTGTCCCTTTGAGAGTTGGCCCTTCCACTGCCTTCCTGTTCCATTTGATGTGCCTCAATTAGCCCTTTCAATCCTTGTCAATATACTTCCAAAGGCAGTGCCCGAGTTACAAACATCTGACTTATAAACAATATATAGTTAAAAACAAGGGTGAGACAACAGGAAGTGAGAGAAATTCACCCCTAGGAACGGAAATTCACTCCTGAAATAGTTATTATAATGGGGAAAAGGCATCTCTACTGAAGTTTTATCACCAATCCTTGTTTCCACAACAAGCAACGTTTTTCAAAATCCAGTTATCATAGGGACAGAAAGTGAGGTGAAATTTTCTGAACAGACAGCAAAACAAACACCACAGAAGTATTGACCCCTCTCCAACTTATGAACAAATCTTCAGAACCTATTTTGCTCCTAACTTGGGGATGGCCTGTAATGGGGACAATCAAAGGAATGTTCATTACCATATTGGCCTGCCAGGTATCCACATTAACACAGCGATCAATGCACCACCAAAAGTCATCCTCTGACTCTCCTTTCCAGGCAAACACAGCAACACCTAGTGAGGGGAAAAATAATCAAACAACCTGGTGTTTTTCTCAAGCAGTGACAATTGATACCCTCTCCTGTTAAGCCCATTATTGTCACATTGCACACATATCAACCCTACCCACTTCATCTAAAGCCAGGAGAATAACCATCTCTATGTGTTGTACATTTGGAAAAAGCACTACTGTTGGGGAAACTGTCTAAGAATTCAAAACCTTTTGGACAGAATGCTTAAGATTCAGGAAAGAATTTCACTGCTTTATCCCTGCTCCTTTTCTTGTTATCAATATGACAGATTTAAATGGCAATGCTATTTGAAGGGACATCATCTTTATACAACCCAGAAACATTAGGATAGTGACACCAAACTCTAGTTACTAAAATGTAATGGAAGGCTAAGGCTCAGTTAAACATCTGCTGGTTAACAATTATACTGTCTTCTCCTGTGACAAGAAAGAGTCTGTATTAAAATAATTAATCTGTACAGTCTGTGAAGTGCTTGGGTATTTTGAACTTATGCAAGTAATAGCAGTTTAGAAACTTCTCACTGGTTTTTAACTATTCCTCAGAATGTAGTCTTCACAGAATACACAAAGAACAGAGGATGAAAAGAAAATTATATGGCATCTCCAGACTAAAACTATGAAGTATATTGTGGCATGAGTTTTCAAAGGCAAAAGATGCTTGTAGAATAAATAACCTCAAGCGGAACATGTCCTCTTTAGATAAATGTAGTCTCTCTTAGCTAATTCATGGGAGTCTGAACAAGGCTGATAAAATACTCAACAGCTTGAGCATTTAGAAAAATTAGAAAAAAAAATAGAATGGCAGTAAAATGGGTAATTACATTTTTATGCTTTCTGGAATTTTCACAATCGGACATAAAAGTTATCATGTATGCACTAGTAAAATACCGAATATACAGAAATTACAGCATTAAGAAAAGATTAGTGGATTTGTCATTCTCTGTCCTATCTCCCTATTACTCCAAACCTTAATCATTGTCCTATAGTATATATTTGTGCAAAGCAGCTGTGAGAAATTGCTTCATCCATATCTCTAGATCTAGCTTTGTCTGATTCTAGTACACTAACTGATGGACCGACTAATAAAACATGAAACTCTGATTTTGTACCTCAATCAACGATATTTTTGCATGACTGCCATGCATACACAAAACACATTTAATCCCATATCTTTCATTCAACACTTTATATTGATTCACATTTTGTGTTCATGAAATAATCTGGTCCTTCTTTCTAAATTAAAGGCAGGACTTTATATGCCAAATAAATTGTCAAAAGCTTACACAATTAATAACAAGCTGCAGAATACTAATAACATAGCTTGAGAGGTTAAAAAAGTAAAGAGCTTCTAATGCAGCCAAATAGTTCTTTGCACCATGATTCTTAAGTATTTAAGGGTTTGATGTAATAAGTAAGCACTCTAAACACCGAACAATTATGCAGCATTTCTATCGCCGATGTTGAATTTCTGTGCAACTCTCCTGTACTCACCAGCTTCAGCCAAGGCAGCTGCCACCTCATTTTGAGTAGAATAAATATTGCAAGCAGACCAACGGCACTGAGCTCCTAGTGCACAGAGTGTCTCAATCAAGACCTGAAGGGCAAAGGCAGAGAATCAACCTAACAAGGAGTAGAAATAGCTTAATGGATTTGAATATTACTATTTGGCTATGGGATCAAGCCTTTGGGCAGTAAGCAATACAAGGAATGATCAAGGATTATGTGCAATTGATATTTGATATTTGGAATGGCCTTGGACCGTGATTTTTGGATTTATATTACTATGTTTTTTAAAATAGATTTTTATTAAACATACAATGAGAAATTTCATTTACATAAAAAGTGGTGGAACAATAGTTGAAAAAAAGTAGGAAATAGAGGTATAAAAATCTTGACAAAAACAAAAAAAACAGAACAATATAATTTTCTTTTTTTTAAAAAAAAATGCTTTTCCTCCAGTTTGCCTTTTCCCTTATTACTTTTTTCATATTCCTCGAAAAGGTTCCAGTCTGTCGATTTTGTTGGGTTTCCCGAGGTCTTCTTCAAAAGAAACATTAATTTATCCATATTTCTAATTTCTCTTAATTTACTTATCCAGCTGTTGATGTCGGAAACTCTTCAAGTTTCCAAAGTTTCGCTTATGAAATCCTCGCTGCAGTGGTCATATATGTAACTAAGATGTCCTTGTTTAAGTTTAGGGTTAGCTCCAAGTCAGTGATGCCTAATAAATAATACTCAGGTTTCCTTAGAAAGTTTATTTTAAGTATTTTTTTTACATTCCTCATGTATAATTTTCCAATATCTTGTGACCTCTTTTCAGGACCACCACATATGGAAGAAACTCCCATCATGGTCATGGCATTTCCAACATTTCTTTTCTATGTTTGTGTACATCAGGTCAAGTTTCTTAGGGGTAATATACCACCTATGGAACATCTTTAACCAGTTTTCCTTTAGAGTCATAGCGCAGGTGTATTTTAGTTTCTTGTTCCAGATTTGTTCCCACTTCTAAGATTTTCTGACCATTTGATCATGCACGTTTCTGTTGACCATTCCAAGATTTTATTATATTGTTTGGTAATGAGTTTTTTTTCAGTTTGAACTATCTTGTCCCAAACTTCATCTTTCAAATTAAAGCCTATCTTCTTATCGTGACTGTAATATTCTTTAATTTGCAAATAGTGTAGCCAGGAGATGTTACAGTAAGTTTGATTTAGCTCTTTGTGAGTTTTGAGGCTATTGGTGTTTTTAATTAACAAGTCCTTATACGTTGGCCATTTGGTCTATCCAACTAGTCTCTTTCGTATGGCTTCCATTAATATGTTTTGAATTCCACATTTTAATGTTCAAATATTGTTACATTTTTATGATCTAATAGATAGTTATATGTTATTGTTGTTGGGTTTCATATGTATGTGAGGCATTACATTTTGCCAAAAATATGTTGGAAACTGCTTTGAGTCCCCCCTTAGGGTGAGAAAAGCGGTATACAAGTGAAACAACACACTCTACGTGGGGCTGCCTTTGAAGACTGTTCGGAAACTACAACTAGTCCAACGGGCTGCAGCCAGATTACTAACTGGAGCAACATACAGGGAGCATACCACCCCCTTGTTGTGCCAGCTCCTGAGTCCCCCTTCGGGGGTTGAGAAGCAACAGGGTAGAAATACCGGAAATAAATAATAATAAATAAGTAAATAAATAAAATATATAAATTATGTATTTGTTTATTGCATTTATATACCACTTTTCTCACCCTGGGGTGACTCAAAACGGTGCAAATTTAATATATCACAAAAAAATGCAATGCTTCACAGAAAACAAAAACAGTACATCAGTATTATACCACAACAAAAGTATTTTCATTTTTTTAATGTATAACTTATTCTGCTGAAAAGACCCAGTCAATTAGTGAAACAAACCATAGTTCTGTGGGATGTAACACACATGACTTCCCCATTCCCCAATAATTTTACCAGAACTCTAAGCTACCTAAAACTCGCATTAAGTTCCAAACCAAAGAACATGCAGTTATCTGTCAAACTCTATGTACATACAACTTGATATACTAACGTTTTCATAACAATAGATGTCTTTGCAACAGAGTATTTGTGTGTAGATACACTAAAATTGCTTAGTAACTAAACTGTATTCTTGTTTACAGAAATACTTCCTCTTATCTCTTTAGATTGAAATTGATCAAGATGGCCTGGAGAGGAAAGATTTTCAGTTAGCAGAATGCTAGCTCCTGTACAAACGGAAGAATGGAGCACTTACTGCAGTCTGTGCTGTAATGTGCGTACATCCCACTATTTTAGCTCCAGCCAACGGTTTCTCACCCTGAGCTCGTTTTCTTAGGGAAATCAGTGCAGACATATCTACAAAAGCAAAAGAACCATTTTAAATTAACCTCAGGCCAGCAAGCAGCCAAACAATAATCACAGTGGACTCACAGAATTAGTTTAGTTCAGAGAAATGTGTGTGTATATTTATGTTTATAAAGAAATAATGAGAACGGGGGCCACAGGTAGACAAAAACAGTGAAATAGATAAAATGCCACTGAAGGATGCTGCAGCCAGAAAAGGCGGAAAGTTGCCAAGAAGGTGTCATTGTCCCCAAATGGAGCTGTGTGGAAAAGATCATTTTGTGTGTGTGTGTGTGTGTGTGTTTGCTTAGCACCAAAATGCTCAAAATTATTTCCCACATATTGGTCATAACCTACAATGCATATGCAGACTTTTGCAATTGGCATCATGAAAAACACCTGTTAGAAGGATCTCAAAAAGGGTTTTTAAAGGCTTATTTCTTTTGCTGACATTTCAACAGAGCAGATCTGTGCCACCATAATGTTTGCTGACTATGATACTCAAAGGAAGAGAAAACACCCTTTACCTTGCTCAGCAATCTCTATCTCGCGGCGGCCAAATTCTGCCTGCTTGATATTCTTAACACAGAAATTGCTGCTGCCCTTGGAATTAGTTTGTTGTTTTTCTCTAGGGGAAACTTCATCATCAGAGCTGTCTGTGTAGGATGCCGCTGGAGGAAAAAAAACAAAAATGCTTGGTGAGAACAGATTATACATGAAAGAAATTAAGACAATCATTATGTCTTAGTCAATGCTGACATTTTACCATCTGTGCTATTTCAACTGCATTCTAATAATTCATTTTCAACAGGAAAAATATCCAGGTCAATCTGGCTTCCTGTTTCAAATCTTTCACTTCTTGGCTCATCTATACCGGCATAAGGTGGCACCATGTGGGTTTCAAACAGTGCATGATATCAACATCTTTGGAAAATTACTAGCAGACAGAGCCATCTTATTTATTGCAAATGTAAAGCTGATGTTCAAACAAATCTATTCCTTCAAGCAACTTATAATGATAATACATTGAATACAATACATTTACTTATTTTTCAATGAACAGCATCGCTTATCTGTGCTTATCAATGCCAAAACAGGCTCCTTCCACCTATAGAAACAGGTTCCTGCAAGCCAGATATATATGGCAGAGGAGGAAAGGCTGGCTTTTGTAATTTTGGAGTAAAACGGTCATGTGTTATTGGTGGTTTTAACAGACTACTGAAGCAACTGGACAAGATGTGGTAGCTTTTACAGACCACTTCTTTAATACCATCCTTTTATTGTAAACTCAATGTGCTGGTGTCTTACAGCAAAGGCTGCTCTGTAAGGGTGTGTGCCCTTATCTTTGCAGATAGTTCAACACAAACAATTGTAATGCAATTCAATACTTTTAAATGCTTCTGAACATCCAGAGTGAGGCTGCCAAAAAGAAATAGTAAGCGTTTCCCTTTAAATGTTAGTGGTAACACAATGCATCATCACTCAATGTTTCCAATCATGTTAATGTTCACAGTGGTGCATAGGCAAAGAGGAGCTAAGGATCAAAGAAAAAGAAGGCACCTACCAGAGCTGTAACTATCTGTGGAAGACTGTGAAATGGAACGAGATAGGGATCTGCGACCAGTCTTGGTTGGGAATTTACTGAACTCTTGCATATCATCTGCAAACTGGATTTGCTATGGACAAAGGAAATGAGATAACACAAATGTTTATAGTGCTTTATCATTTTCTTAACAGATTTGCTTCTCCAGAACACTAAAGACAAACAAACGAGCACTGTTTGCAAAAAACTAGGCCACATACAAGATGCTATGCCAAGATACATGCTAATTAGTCGCCCCCCCCCCCCCCCCGGCATATCCATGGATTCTGCATCTACTGATTGAGCCAACCATGGCTTGAAAATTTTTATTTAATTCCTAAAGGCAAACAGACACCATTTTACTATGTTATTGTTTATAATGAGACATTAGCATGTATGTATTTTGATACCCACTAGGCATCCTGGACCCAAACCCCAACAGTTATGAAGGGCACACAGTTTTTCCATAAAACTCCCCTTTTTTTTAGAAATTCAAAGAATCTTTAGTGGTCTAAGGCTGAATCTACATGAGGGCTGTATCCTAGCTCTACTGTGTAAGTATCCTGTACAAGTTTGACCCCTTTACTGCCACACACAGTTTGGAAAGCCATATTATATAGTCACATTGGTACAAGCGGATGTTTCTACTATGTACCCATATTTACTTATAGATTCATAGAATCACTGAGTTGGAGGAGACGTCATGGGCCATCCAGCCCAACCCCCTGCCAAGAAGCAGGAAAATCACATTCAAAGCACCCCCAACAGATGGCCATCCAACTTGTTTACAAGCCTCCAAAGAAGGAGCCTCGAGTTTAAGACTCAAGTCTAAGGCACCATCAAATCTAATGCGCACCTCAATTTTCAAAACCCCGAAAATAAACCCCCAAAAAAGTATTTTCTGACAAATGTAATGTGCAACAGCAAAAAGCACACTCTTTATAATACGCCAATTACAGTTGCAGCCTACTAAGAATTCATCAATTGATGTGGGCCTTCTAATTTAATTATCTGGCGTTTGCACTTTACTACCACCCTGTTCTATAGTTGTATTGCAGCCTTTGCCCTGCCCCTTTAAACTCTGAACACACCATTGTGATCAGCTACTGGTTGTTGGTTGTGGATAGTTTATGTTCTTATGATGTCTTGTATGGTTTTTTTTTAAACTTATTGTAATGCTATATATTTTACTGCAGTATATTTTAATTCTGTTGACTGGGCCTGGTCCCCATGTAAGCCACCCCGAGACCCTTCGGGGAGATGATGGCAGGATATAATAATAATAATAATAATAATAATAATAATAATAATTCCTTCTTTAAAAACAATTGTATTGGAACACCAAAGCAATGGAAAAGAAACCTTAGGGTGCATCTGTGCTGTGGAATGAATCCACTTCAACGGTCTTGGCTCAATGCTATAGGGTCAAGGAGGCTGTAGTTTTACAAGGCCTTTCGCCTTCTCTGCCAAAGAATGCTGATGCCTCACCAAACTACAAATCTCAGGATTATATAGCATTGAACTATGACAATTAAATTGCAGATGGCATATCTCAAATAGAAACTCCAGGTGAAGTCCATGAAGCAGCTTCCCCTACTACTTTGACTCAGCACTAACATTATCCTATTACATGAATCAAATGAGCACCCTAATTTTGGCAAGGTAATTTAGCTAAAAAAAGGCAAGTGTTAGATTTGTGAAAATACAGTATATGTGTTCACCATATTGGCTCATGTCCAATTAGATGACAACCACTACAGCAACTGCAATGGGTTTATTAGTTTCTGTCAGCCCACCTACACTCCCATTGGACTGGATGCATATCCGAGGGGATACATCAGCTCTCAACGGCATTGAGTCGCCTGTTAAGGGCTGAAAAATGCGGTATAGAAATAAAGCAAATAAATAAATAAATTGTTTTCACCCCCTCTAAATGATCCAAATGACAATGCTGTAAATTCTTCCCAAGAATTTACAGCATTGCAGCCTTAACAGCACACTCTTATAAAGTACTCATAAGTAAGTGTCACTGAGTTCAAAACCTCTTACTTCCAGGAAAGTGTTATTGTTATAAGTGTCGTATTTTAACTTACTAAGTGGAGTGTGATAAGATCTTGACAGTCCTTGTTGTTCTATTTCTTATTGTGATATGGCCTAAGGGCTAATCAACAAAATTACTTACTTATTTATACCCCACTACCATCTCCCAGAGGGACTCAGGGCAGCTCGCAAAGCACTCAAGGTACAAACATTTGACATTTATTGTCAAAGTGCCAAGACAATAACACAAAAGCAATAACACCCAACATAAACATCATAAAAAAACCCCTGGTTAAATTAAGATCAATAAAATGCACCAATAGCTGCAGATATAAAACAACTGCAATCAATATTAGTATCATAAAGTGCATGGTAAAATAATCTCTAGGTCCTCGAATATCTTCTTTAAGAGTTTCTAAACATGATCAAAGGCTTGCCTAAAAAGCCATATCTTCAATTGTATACGGAAGGCTTGGAGAAGGGGCTAGCCTAACCTCCCTCAGAAGAGCATTTCCAAAGCCTGGAGACCATCACCAAGAAGGCCCTCTCTATCATCCCCATCAACCGCGCTTGAGATGGAGGTGGGACTGAGAGGAGGGCCTCCCTGGTAGATCGTAGTGCCAGCACCGGTTCATAGAAGGAGATGCGGTCTCGAACATTGGTTGGACCTGAACCGTATACAGCAACAGTGAATCAAAGTTATTTCCTATGGTTATTTCCCAAATCCAGAAAAAAATTACTCTGCTCAATACTGCTGCATTTTCACAGGATAGATAAAAATTAAATTATTATATTAAAAAAATGAAACTGCTTTAAGATAGGTTAGATTTATTAATCTAAATTATATTTATCATTTTAAATAATCTATTATGCTTCTTTGCTTTAAAACGATGCCATAAAATGAAATCTGGCTATGCAATCAGTATACTTTAGTTGTGAGGAATAAGGAGATTTAGACCACTGAGTTCAAAACCAACTGGGCTAGATCTGTCCAACGGGACTTTCTCCCAGGTAACTGCATGTAGGAATGTAATATTATTGTTCCACAGATGGAAATAGGAGACAAATTTGGCCAGATTTTACTCTTAAAATCCATCTTACACAGAAACACCATCATGCTCCATAACTGCTACCCCATTTCTGAAAAACAATGGTTAAATATTTACAATTTACTTACTTCCTCCCCATGTAGATAGCTAGATAAACTTATCTCAAAACTATTTATTCTCAAAACAGATAATTTTGAAATGCACAAGGCATGCAGATTATATGTCCAAGTGTTTTACATTTTGCTGGTCGAGAGATAAAATATAGCCAAGGGTTAAATTGTACAACTGCAGAGAATATTAAAACAGGTCTACTCTTCTCGGTCACTTAAAATTAGCAGCTTGAAGCATCTCCATTGAAATTAATGAACCATGCTTTTTCTGTCCTCCCTCCAGAGATCTCTGCTCTGGCCCAATGAGGGCTCATGTTCTACAATACAGCTAATGTGTAGGGGTCATGAAGGATAGAAACAAGGTGCTCAGCATGGATTTCCTTCATATCTCAGATATTACCATTGTCATCATTAGACTCCATAGTCCCAAATGAATTTATTCTTGTGATGTCATGTCCTATTAATTGTGGGAAATATGGGGGGGGGGGTAGTTGTACTGAGCTTTTTCCTGCTTCATGTAGGATATTCTGAGCATAATATTACGCATTTCGCAGTTAATTATCAGGCAGTCCCCAAGTTACGAACAAGATAGGTTCTGTAAGTTTGTTCTTAAGTTGAATTTGTATGTAAGTCAGAACAAGTATTTTTTAAAGTGTCATAGATAGAAAGATAGGCAGGCTTTGGATAGCATAGGGAAGGGTTAACACCCCTGTGGTGTTTGTTTTGCTGTCTGTGCCCCTGTTCAGAAGATTTCACCCTACTTTCTGCCCTTGTGCTAATCAGCTCAGCACCTGACTGCACTTTTACTACTCAACCTGTCCGGCCAGTCATGTGTCTAGATTAAGATGATCACTACCTCTTCTTCTTTATTCTATAGACCCTTAAGTTTCTTTGATTCAGTACCACTCATCTTCTCTAATAATTTGGTGGTCATACACTTCCACGCATAATACTGCTGCCCAGTTTCACTTTTGGACCAATTCTTAAATTTGGGTGTGCTTTTTTGTGTCTTCACTTCATTCCCAACTTAATGATGACCCAAAAGTGAACCTATCATAGAGTTTTCTTGTCAAGATTTGTTCAGAGGGGATTTGCCTGTGTCTGTCTCTAAGGCTGACAGACATGCCTAAGATTGCTCAGTAGGTATACATGGCTGAGTGGAAATTTGAATCCTGGTCTCAAAAGTCATAGAACAATGTTCGAACAAGTATATTGTGATGGCTTTCTCTCTCTATGCAATAAACTACAATTAAGATCCATTTTAAAAAGAGAAATCAGGTTAAAAATTAAATTTAAAATTTATGGTGATCACCACATGGCAAACCTTTCAACAAAAGCCATAAACCATTGTTAATCTATCAGTCTACATAACATACCAGTCTCATAGCATTTTTGATACTTAAGATCTTTAAAATCAAAATCTCACTAAGCCGAAAAGAATAGTGTCCTTAAGCACATGTTTTCCCAATGTGTCCAATTCCTGACTAGCAGACATTCCACAAAAAGAGTGTACTTATCTCCAGAGACGTTATCCATTTTATTTACCAGTATTTGACAACAATACAAAGAGGAACAAGAACGGTTGTACTTGGATCTGGCTTTTAAGCTCTAAAAAGGACAATTTGGATCTTGGAAACTGCTTGCTAATGAAATCAACTGCTGAATTTACCACCATAATCCCTGCACCAGCTTTAAGGGATCTCATCTGAACTCTGCAGCTTAGTAAAATCTGCCCTGTCTAAAAATATTATCAAACACTGGAAGCTGATGGCTAATTAACTGAATTATTCCAGCATTAAATCAATTTAAACTCAGTATACAAGCTAAAAGGTGTCTGGCCAGAGGTAGGAATAGAGTTCTTGAAAAAATAAAGGGCCCAACTGCAACCTTACAAT